TCGAACCCCGGTCTCCGCGTGACAGGCGGGGATACTTACCACTATACTAACGAGGAATGCCTTGTTTGATAACTTTCACCCCTCACTATATATATAAATGACCGTAGCCTCTAATTCATTGATTAATTAAAAAACCCCATTCTAAAACCTTCTCATATCGGAGCGATCTACTTCATCCCTTACATTTCCTGTTTTGAGCTTTTAACTCGGGAGTACTATTTTCATGCAAAATATTATTTTGATAGGTATATTAAAAAAAATACAGTTCCAGGGTTAGGCAGATGATAGGAACACTATGAAAGGCTTCTGTACTATACTTTCTGGGGTGAAACCCTTAGAGTAGTACGGTACTGACGGCTAAAACCTATCCAGCCGTCGCTAAATGCAAGGCAGTTAAGAGCTTAACATTTGCTGCACATACGAACATACACACAACAGAGAGATACAGTCTCCTAACTCGTGCGCCGGAAAGCTCTCATCTGTTAGCGTCGGATGCATTGCATTGCATGGGAGGAGCAACGTGACGACAGAAATGTCGAGAGGCCAAAGGAAGTTGAGGAAGTAAGACGTTGTCAGGGATAGAATACGTACTGCAGTGATTCCAGTTCGTGTTGCCATTGTGAAAAGTGAATGACGGGAAGGCTTTTTCTGAAGTCGGCTCGTTGGTCTAGGGGTATGATTCTCGCTTCGGGTGCGAGAGGTCCCGGGTTCAAATCCCGGACGAGCCCTCTTTTTTAAATTCTTTTTAAAAAAAATCTCTATTTTTCAGTTGCTGGAAGAAAACAGATAAAGGGTATGGGAAAGCTGAGACCAGACGAGATTAAAATGCAATGAGAGACTGATGAGAAAATATCCCAGAAATTAACTAGGTGTTCGTGGTGTTTTGTTTTTTTAAAAAGGGTATTTAGCTAAACCATTTGTGAAATTTTGAAACGCAACAAAGTTTACCGGAGCATATAAAAGAAGAGATGCAATCCTAACACCAGATGCATACATAGAAGAGGGGCCGGGACACAAATCCGAATTAGTGTCATTCTACTGATCATTGCTATTGTGCGATGTTTTAAAGTTTTTATTTATTTACTCAACATAGATCAAATGTTCCTGAAATCGTGGACGCCTGATCAATGGTAGAGGGCTTGTGCAGAGGTCTCTGTGGCGCAATCGGTTTAGCGCGTTCGGCTGTTAACCGAAAGGTTGGTGGTTCGAGCCCACCCAGGGACGGTACTATTTTTTTATTATTAATCACGATCTAAAATTACAGAGGTTAGTAATTTAAATGGGCTCTTAACTTAAACACCGATGTTCTGCCTAAGGCATTTTACTTAATATTGAGACAACATTTACCCTTTGAACAGCTTAGGGAAATGTGTGAACTGCTGTTTATAATCATTATAGATGCTGCTGTTTATTGCACCATCAGTGGGCATGGCTTTTTACAAAGTACAAGACACCCAAGTGGCTTACAACCCAAAATTCAACACAGGAGAAACAACAAAGGGGTGGCCGTGAAGGCAGGAAAGCAATAAGTGATTGATGCAGTCACAATGGCTCTAGTATTATGCCAACAATAATAGTTGCATGAAGAAGGGCTTCTCCAAATTGGTACCCTCCAGATGTTTTGGACTACCTTCTATGCTGGCTCGTGCTGATTGTGGCAATTGTCCAAAGAGCACCAGGTTACAGAAGGCACTAGGTTACAGAAGCCTGCAGAAGAAGGGTCTGTTGTGCTTCTCTGTGTTTATATTGCTATAGACTTCACATTTCAGTGTCCACTCTTTGACATCCACACCCCTACAAACACCCACTTCTGTACGCCTTTGTATACGTAGATATATGTGTGCGGATGTAACATTCAGGCTGAACATAATCCTTCATGCATATTCTCTAGGGATCTTTTAGTCTACAAAACCGTAGGCCTTAATAAGTATCTCAGGCTCCAATCCTGCCTCAGTTTAGCTGGGAGTAAGTTCCACTGAACGCAGCAAAACTTACTTCTGTGTAGGCTTGTGTAGGGTTGCCATATGTCCTCTTTTTCATGAGTAGAAGTCGGCAAAATGTGTCTTCTTTTTTGCACTTCAAAATATGGCAACCCTAACCATGGTCCAATGTTATTATGGAAGGCCACAGGTTCATCAAACAACTCCTGCATACTACAGTAAGAAATCAGCCATTTTCAGCCTGGATGTGAACTGTTCTGCTGTATCCGATTAAGGAAACACAGATTAGGTTACATTGCAATTTAACAACCTCCTGTATATTAAATTCTCAAGAGGGAGGGAGGGAGAAAGTGCATTTGAAAAGAGTCAGTGGATGAGTGTCAGATATTAACAGTTTTATGGTTCCCCGTTACATGACTATATACTTGGGCATCATTGTGGTTGTGAAATATCAGGGCTGTCTTCTACAATGGCTTTAAAAGAGAATTAGACAAATTCATAAAGGGGAGACAGTCAATGGCCACTAGCCACAATGGCTATTCTCTGCCTGGAGGAGGTAAAAGGTAAAGTAAAGGTAAAGGACCCCTGGACAGTTAATTCCAGACAAAGGCAACTATGGGGTTGCGGCACTCATCTTGTTTCTAGGCCAAGGGAGCCAGCATTTGTCCACAGGCAGCTTTCCGAGTCATGACTAAACCACTTCTGGTGCAATGGGACACCAGGACCGGGAACCAGAGCACACGGAAATGCCGTTTTCCTTCCTGCTGCAGCTATACCTATTTATCTACTTGCACTGGTATACTTTTGAACTGCTAGGTTGGCTGAAGGAATCAATTCTCTTGTGCTTTGGTTCTGCTTTCGGGTTTCCCACAGGCATCTGATTGGCCACTGGGAGAACAGGATGCTGAGGTAGATGGGCTATGGACCTGCTCCAGCAGGGATCTTCTTGACTACCTATTTTAACCATTCAAAATAGTTATAACTCTGCCCTAAACTGCTTTATCTTGCAACATCAGCATGCATATCTCTTGATTTAATTCTTTTGTATGCAGCTTTCCTTATCTGCTTTGTGTACATGCTTTGATATCACACCTGTTATTCCAAGCTGAACACATTCTGAATGCCTTTTTAAAAATTGGCTTGGCTGTTCCTATTTTAAATGGGTTCCACTTAATTTTACATGGGTGGGTGTATTAGGCTAATACAGCATTATCATAATTTAATGCTTTCATAACATGGTCCAAGAAGCAGGTTTTCTTCCTATATTCATGTGGGGAATTTGGAATCTGGAGTACTAGCAAATTCCACCAGTCCTAGTGAGCGTAATCAAAATAGGAACAACATTGCAGATATTAAGAAGCAAAAAGCACATACTTTAATTCCCTCCCCCTGAACAGTAGAGGAAACAGGGAAGAACGTTTGCAAAAATTGTTTTCTACTTTCAACACATGCAGGAAGAAGTTTGGTTTTGCACAAGTGCTACCATTTCTTAGTGTGTATAGGAGGAGGGCGGGAAAAAGCAGGGGGAACCTCACACACTATCATAAAGAATTAAGAAAAACCATTGCCGAAACCCGGGATCGAACCAGGGACCTTTAGATCTTCAGTCTAACGCTCTCCCAACTGAGCTATTTCGGCACGTGCGTTATAATGCCTGAGCCCCTCCATCAGAAATAAAAACATGCTGACCTACAATACACCACGTATTTCTGTCTTTATGGACTGCATGGGAGATGGTTGCTACATTGTACTATTACCTCATTTACACATTGTTGTGCTACATTGTTACGCTATCGGTCTGCATTTTATTGTTACTTTATTCTAGCCACACTTGTATCCAGAGAACTCCGGAGGACTAAAAAGAGTATTGTTGCGTATATAGCCATCTAAGAGCCCAGAAACTTAAGCCAAGAGGGAAACTCGGGAGACAGCAATGTCAAGTTATCTGGGTGTAAGCCTAGTAGAAAAAACAGAGGCTGGCTTCCAGGTTAAAAGTGCGCGAAGGGTTTCACAGCAAGCCACTTACACAAACTTCACATCTGGGGAAAGTTAAGATACTTAAATGATACTCTGCCGGATAAGCCTGTTAGATCCGTGCTGCGCTTGCCGTTTTAACCCGGAAGATACCCACTGTGACACTGAAATAAGGCGCGAGAATGTGTTTTACGTTCTGGCGATACCATATATTGTTGCAGGGACCCTGAAGTTACGTCTCGGCTAACTAGCACTGGTAATACAAATTCCATATTACGAATTCCTTTTGCCAGAAAACATACATGTAATCAAATCAGCTCTTTTCTAGATATTGTGGGTGGCTCTTAAAAGAGCCTTTGTTGTCTGTTTTGAAATGTCTCCGACGTCTCCTAAAAATCCTACAAGAATTTACTTGGCCTTCGCTTTATGGCTCTCGGTTTTCTTGGGCAACAGCACAGCCTGGATGTTGGGGAGGACGCCTCCTTGAGCAATGGTGACTTTGCCCAGCAGCTTGTTCAGCTCCTCGTCGTTGCGGATGGCGAGCTGCAAGTGGCGAGGGATGATCCTGGTCTTCTTGTTGTCCCGGGCAGCGTTGCCGGCCAACTCCAGGATCTCAGCAGTCAGGTACTCCAGCACAGCAGCCAAGTAGACGGGCGCCCCGGCCCCGACGCGCTCTGCGTAGTTCCCTTTGCGCAGAAGACGGTGCACACGGACCCACAGGGAACTGCAGCCCGGCACGAGAAGAGCGAGTCTTGGCCTTGGCACGAGCCTTGCCTCCTTGCTTGCCGCGTCCAGACATGACACCAACTTCTAAAGTAGAACAACAACTCGAGATGAGAAACCGGAAAAGTAAGTCACAACATGGCGATTCTGGCCCTTTTATACCCTCCCTGAGACTCAGCCTCGGCAATTTCGATTGGCTGAACGCTGAAAGCCACCACAGCGTCCAATGAAAGCGCGGCTTCTCATTGTGCCCAATGAAAACGCCGAGGTCTCACGTCACCCATTGTGATGATTGGTTGGTTTCCAGAAAACCTTTTGTGCGCGTTGTGCTTCCTTAATCAGGGCGTCGAAAGGAGCCAATAGGAAAGCGGGAGGATTGTGCGCCGAACCGCGGGGGACGGTGAATAAATACGCGTGCAGCGAAGACTTACCTAGCATTTCTTTTTTCACACATATTCTCAGTTGGTCGCAGTTTCAGCATAGCAGGATGCCGGAACCAGCCAAATCCGTGCCTGTTCCGAAGAAGGGCTCCAAGAAGGCCATCACCAAGACCCAGAAGAAGGGCGACAAGAAGCGCAAGAAGAGCCGCAAGGAGAGCTACTCCATCTACGTCTACAAGGTGCTCAAGCAGGTCCACCCGGACACGGGCATCTCGTCCAAGGCCATGAGCATCATGAACTCCTTCGTCAACGACATCTTCGAGCGCATCGCGGCCGAGGCTTCCCGCCTGGCGCACTACAACAAGCGCTCCACCATCACCTCCCGGGAGATCCAGACCGCCGTCCGACTCCTGCTGCCCGGAGAGCTCGCCAAGCACGCCGTCTCCGAGGGCACCAAGGCCGTCACCAAGTACACCAGCTCCAAGTAATTCCTTATTCTTGGCACAGCAGCTTTTTTAAACAAACCAACGGCTCTTTTCAGAGCCACCCACTTTCTCTGCAAAAGAGCTAAATTTGCTAGAAAAACTGCGCGTGAGCTTTATGTAAGAGGCTTTACTTGTGTGTTAACTGCCTTTTGGAAATAAATGCTGGTTAGTTTACGTTATTGTGTTATGAGATACTCCTAAAGCTAAGCTTTTGCTTTTGAGTCTTAGCCTGCAAATGAGGGGAGAAGCTCTGTTTCGGTAGGGAGAAGACTTCTATTGCTCAGATGGGACACATTCACCTTAGCTAAGATGCAGTAATTTAATTTCATTAATTGCTATTACCTTGTAAGTCGTGGCACAGTTCTTATCACTTGTGAATTAAACAAGAGTACCAGACTTTTGGAAGATATAATCACATAAATATATATCCCTTCACCTAATGCTTTAATGGCCTGAAGCTCCCACCTGAAAAGTTTACACTCCTGGACAGATGAATTTTTAGAATCCATCTGGCAAGTTATTTCTTCCTTTCTCTACTTCTCTTACCCGTCTCAATACATTTTTCTTCTATTCGTTTCCCCCCCTCCCTCCCCATTTTATACAAGTCCTTTTCAGTCTCCACTAGATTTCTCAACTTGGCCTGTTTTTCCTATGTCTCTTAAAGTCAAAAAGCTCATACTGTTTGAGTGCTCCAGAAATTAACTCCCTTTCCTCAGCTGTCTCCAAATCTCCAATTATTGAAATCACCAACTTGTTTCCATCTCGCCTTCATTCTCTCCTTCCAAAGTCTGCTACACAGAAATGTGTTTAGTGGTATGTTTGGCCAATAAGGCAGATGTTTCACAGAAACATTTCTCTATTGTTGTGAGGAGGCAGTTCCCAACCAGTCTTCTGATTAGGGTTACAGCTGTTCTTATTTCTAAGTCAGTATGCCAATTCCATTTCAATCAGTAACGTTTTGTGTAAAGTTGCATTTGTTTGGGGAGCCAAGTTCTAGTGTGCACCTAGGTCTCAAAATATTCTGAAAGGGGACATCAGGGCTGCCATGTTAACTTTGCAGGCTTTTCTGGGAGTACTAGCAATCAGCAATAACTGATTGGAACACCTGAAGTCTGATTAGATTCTGGTCCCTGATGGTAACCCATCGATTCAATAATCATGTGCAGTAGTACTTACTCTTTATTTACAATCTTTTAACTTGGGTCACTCAAAGAAAACTTCTGCATACTGTCTGAAGTGGGGATCACATTGGTTTGCAGGAAGGTATATGAAAGATTCGCAGGGAACTATTAGAGGTTAGTTGGAAAAGTTGAAATAAACTGAGTTTCAAATCACAAGCTCAGCTAACCAAGGTGACCTCGGGCCAGCCACAGTCAACTTTACGTACCTCACAAGGTTTGTTGTGAAGATAAAAATGGGGAGGGGGAGAACCACACTGAGCTCCTGGTTGGAAAGGTGGTATATAAACATAATATAAGAGTATGTGTAATAGTGCTTTAATGACAAGCATTTCGCAGAAGCAACTTCACAACTTCTTTGCCACCTCTTAATGCAGGGGTCAACAAGCTTTTTCAGCCATGGTCCGGTCCACTGTCCCTCAGACCATGTGGCAGGCCGGACTATTTTGAGCGGGGGAAATGAACGAATTCCTATGCCCCACAAATAACCCAGAGATGCATTTTAAATAAAAGGACACATTCTACTCATGTGAAAACACTCTGATTCCCATACTGTACGCAGGCTGGATTTAGAAGGCGATTGGCCAGATCTGGTCCCCGGGCCTTAGGTTGCCTACCCCTGTCTTAATGTAACATAGGTTTGCTAAACAACTGTAGATTGTACACTGGTTATCCGTGTTGCTGTATTCACAGGAGCAAAGGCAGGCAAGCAGCATGAGGAGCTTCAACTCATGCTAATGTGACCATCCTATAGGAACATGGGAAGAGCTTGTTGGGTCAGGCCAATGGCCTATCTAGCACAGCATCCTGTTATCACAGTGGCCAACCAGATGCCTGTGGTAAACCAGCAAGCAGAAGCTGAGCATGAGCACTCTCCTCTCCTGCAGTTTCCAACAACTTGTATTCAGAAGCATTTGTATATATAAAAGAATCTGTTTCAAACACTGCATATTTATGGTCCCCCAGTACTTTCTTTCTTTGGATCATTCAGTGTCTCTGAATCTACAAAATATCTTGGTTCAGCCCCTTTTGACATAATCTGTGCTAAAGTGCCTGGGTATTATCTGAACATAGACTGTTCAGCAACCTCTTTTGTGTTAAAGAGGTTGTTAAGCTGACAACACTTTGTTGAATTGATGTTACACTACCTGAAGAAATCAGGCTGCAAGATATCTCAGCAATTGGGTGCAGTTTTGCAGCACCAGTGATGCCCTGCTGTCCGTCTAAATAGCTGGCCTCAAGTGACTATACCAAAGATGTATCATGAAAGTGTTTTGTCCACAGCTCCACTCATTAGGACCTTTTCAACACATCTTCATTAAACTTTGATAAGTGTTGAGGATCACAAAAGTTACCTGAGATCTCTAGGTTTAAGTGGTCTCCTATTCTGCTGTGTATAATGAAAAGGCTACAGCATCGGTGCTTCTGTTGGCTAGGTGAATAAACAGCTACAGGAAGCCTGCTAGAAAATAAAAATGGGCAAATCCATGGATGTAGCATTTGCACACACACAAAAAAAACTTGTGCGTCTGTCAAGATTTTTCCTGTTCACCCTCCCTTTACAAATATTCTCCCCCACCCCTTTTGTATGGGCACAATAGACTGAAGGCAGTCTTCACTTTCTATGAAAAACATCAAGAAGTTGGGAAGCATGATGGAGGAAGGAAAATAACAATAAATGTTAGTGTCTTGGAATCTTAGCCACTGTTCTTTCCTGGACATAGCACAGTACTGGTACATAGCTAGGAAGGCTGGCTATGTTCATCCTTACTTTTTAAGCATCTCAGTTGGAAAGGTTTTTGGAACCCCCAAATTCCAGAACAATTTGGGGTGCAATTGTATATACACACTTGGGAGTAAGCCCTGTTGTACTCAGTGGAATTTACTTCTGAGTGGACAGTGCTTATAGTTGCCCTATTGATTTTTCATAGCTGCGTACATACATACTGCCACCAGCCGCTTTCAGCTATTCTGTCATAGCAGCACACAGAAATATATATATAACGCGAATGATAACTTGCCGCCACGAAAACGCTAAAGCGGGAAGACTGTGAAGGCGCCAACAACAATTTCAAATTGAAAGGACAACGAGGGCGCCGATTGGCTGGTTTGAAACTACCCAAACCTCTTCTCATTGGATAGAACCAAACTTGCCCGCCAAGGTTTTTTTCCCTGGGAATTGAGCGGGAGGCTCCGCCTCTTAGTTTTCATTCTGGTCGGATTGCATTGTATATAAACCGGCTTGGACAGCGGCAGAATCTCATTTGGTTGGTGCTGTAGTATTTGTGAAGATGTCAGGGCGTGGAAAGGGCGGTAAGGGGTTGGGAAAGGAGGCGCCAAGAGGCACCGCAAAGTTCTCCGCGACAACATCCAGGGCATCACCAAGCCTGCCATCCCCGCCTCGCTCGCCGCGGAGAGTCAAGCGCATCTCCGGCTCTTTACGAGGAACCCGGGGCGTCCTTAAGGTC